CTCAGAAAGTCTCTCTACTTCCTATTAAATAGGCTCGGATGGTGTGTGTGGGGGGGGGGTTCTCACTTGTCCCTACTTTAAATCTAATTTATTGATACGGGCCATTTCCGGGGCGAAAGGGAAGTTTCTGTTAGGAGAAACTTCCTAGAGATGAGTTATAATCATTAAGTGTGCCCTATTTGTGGCCGGCGAAAAAGATGCCTCCTCCACCGAAATGGGGATGAATTTTTGTTTGGCCTCCTACCCATCCGGCCCGGAAAATTTTTCGATATACCGGATAGCCCTCCCCTAGAACTGAACGAAGTCTTCGATGTCCCTCAGAGTCCCGACAGTGAACCGCTCGATCTATCCAATGAATCGGACCCTCGGGTCATTGAAGACTTTTTAATCCAAAGGTCGAAAAGTGAGGTTCACGCTCAAAAAGAGGAGTTGGCCACACTTATCGCTCCTCTGATAGACGAGAAGGCCAAATCCTTTCCGTCTATCCGGAAAACTTCCAACTGCTATGGAATTTCTTTTTCTAATCATTGAGAAAGTAGTTCCGATATAAAAAAAGGCCTACTCTCCTTCTGCTACACGCAAGGACCTGGCGAATCTCAAGCGTCTCTTATCACGTGCATGTTCTTCAGCACGGCACGACGGCAAGGGACAGATGAGTATTCGCAATGTGATCCGGTACATTCTTGAGGATCTCGCCGAAAGCGCCTAAAGTAGCCTTATCCGCTTGAGTGCTCCAGTCCTGCGCTGCTCCCGGCCAAGGATTCCTCCGCTATCTTTGATATAAATGATGGCCTTTTTGATCTCATCCGTATTCCAATCGAAGAAAGAAGGTCAATTTTCCCACGTAGTTCGTCGGTCAAACCAACGATTCTCTTCTCAAAGGAATAGAGAGATCTTTTTGACTTCTATCAATGCAATGAAAGAACCATCCCTTCCTATTTGTTTGTCCTGTCAGATAGAAAGCTAATTTGACCCCAAAGAGCCCTTCTTTACCACTTTAGGGGGTGGGGGTGAAGGGGGGGTTTACATACAACCGAGGCAAAGTGGTTTATGATTGAATCTCAGAGGCATTCTTCTCATTTGGTAGATCCAAGTCCATGGCCTATTTCGGGTTCACTCGGAGCTTTGGCAACCACCGTAGGAGGTGTGATGTACATGCACTCATTTCAAGGGGGTGCAACACTTCTCAGTTTGGGCCTCATATTTCTCCTATATACCATGTTCGTATGGTGGCGCGATGTTCTACGTGAATCCACGTTGGAAGGACATCATACCAAAGTAGTACAATTAGGACTTCGATATGGTTTTATTCCGTTCATCGTATCGGAGGTTATGTTCTTTTTTGCTCTTTTTTGGGCTTCTTCTCATTCTTCTTTGGCACCTGCGGTAGAGATCGGAGGTATTTGGCCCCCAAAAGGGATTGGGGTTTTAGATCCTTGGGAAATCCCTTTTCTTAATACCCCTATTCTCCCTTCATCCGGAGCTGCCGTAACTTGGGCTCATCATGCTATACTCGCGGGGAAGGAAAAACGAGCAGTTTATGCTTTAGTAGCTACCGTTTTACTTGCTCTAGTATTCACTGGCTTTCAAGGAATGGAATATTATCAAGCACCCTTCACTATTTCGGATAGTATTTATGGTTCTACCTTTTTCTTAGCAACTGGCTTTCATGGTTTTCATGTGATTATAGGTACTCTTTTCTTGATCATATGTGGTATTCGGCAATATCTTGGTCATCTGACGAAGGAGCATCACGTTGGCTTTGAAGCAGCTGCATGGTACTGGCATTTTGTAGACGTGGTTTGGTTATTCCCATTTGTCTCTATCTATTGGTGGGGAGGTATATGAAGGAACGAAAGAGTGGATTAAAAAATGAAAGCTCGAAGACAAAGAGAATCGGGCTTTTCCAAAGAATTACTGCAGCTTTCCCACTCCCTTTGATTATCATATACAAAAAAGTGTCTTCCACTTTCCTACCAAATCTCTCTTTATTCTGGCACATAAATGAAGGGATCGAAGAGATTATGGCAGATCATGTTCACCAAGAAATGACCCGAAATTGGATCTTGGTCTATTTGAGATTGTTCCTTTTAATCGTAATCAAAGATGTTTTCTTGTCTCTCGTTTCTTTTCTGAAAAAATGGAAGAACCTAATGGATCGAACTCATCCTTGGCTGCTACGAAAGATATCGGCCTTGCGTTGCGGAAGGAACGTTCTGTTCTCTTTTGAGTTGGAGGCAAGAGCTCTTTCTTCAATAAAGGTTTGGAACCCTCAAGCAAGACATGATCTACATAATAAGACATCATAGCGCCTAGAGATAGAGGTATGGTTCATCGCCTTACTTATCCAAGCGTGTTGCCGGATAGTCGGATATGCCGTACTCTGATTTTGATGAGGTTAGGAACCATTTGCTCTTACCAGCATTGCTCATTATTAGGTAACGCATTCCCCTTTCTCGATTTAAAGGTTAGGGTGACACGTTGTCGCTTTCGCGAAAATAATGAATGATATGGAGTCATGCAAGGAGCGCGCTTTCTTAATCTAATAGAAAAGGGGTTTTCACCATCTATTTCTGCCCGAACTCTTCCTTAGTTTCCCTCCTAGCGAACGGGGAAAGCTTATCCCTCACTCGCATTCGCCTAATCGAGCAGAACGCCACTCGGCGATCATCTTACAACTGGTCCCACCTATAGTTATAGTGTCGAACACACATAAGTATAGGTTTTCTTGTCCTGTCCTTACGACGGTTGTCAAAGACCGGATCTTTGCACTTCGCGACCCTATCCGAGTATGGGCTTAGTGCAAGGCCTCATAGAACAATGAAGTAATGTATCCATACGAGCTCCGGCCCGCAGCAGCTCGAATAGAAAAGAAACCTGTTCATTTATGTTACCTGTTGTGGACCTTCAACCTTTCACCTTTCATAGATCTGAGAAAGGCGGTTTTGGTTTGGGAAGTGACGTTGAGACTGGGCACCTACGATAAGTAAGAAAGAAAGCAAAGGGAAATCGGAGGAGTTAGAGCAGGGAACAATGGGCATCCCTACCTGGAAAACAAAGAGTAGAGTGACGCGAAGGACCCTCCATGAACAGAGTCCATGAGCTCGAGAAGAGAAGTCAGGCCTTCGGTCAACCAAGAGAGGGCCAGCCTAATCAATATGTCAGAATTCGTTGCCTTCTTCTTTCGAGCTCATCAGTCAGCTTCCAGTCACCCAACCAATCCTCTTGATCCTGACCTACAGAAAGGGGTGAATGAGGTCAGAGAAGCCCTCGTCTGTCTTTCGGTGACCAGGAGAGTCAGCCGGAGATAGGTCTGTGCTTTCGTCAGGGGGTAGCTCGTCAGTACCAGGTGTTGATCAGTCATCCAAAAGAGAGGGGCTCTGAGGACCAGTTTGACATCTCATTCAAGAGAGAGTGAGTCATCGATCCAATTCCTATGTTCACGGAGGGGCCCGAAAAAGAGAGTGAGTGAAAATGATGCACTACACGGACGCCATTTGGACCCTACGAAAGCAAGCCCCGAGCTGGTCCGTACCAACCAAGAAGATTGGCTTCATTTGTCATGTTGAGGGCTCAGAAGAAGCTCATGTTGGAAAGCAAGCATGTGCAAGAACCAATCAGGATACAAATCCTGAGGTCTTCCTGGATGGATTGACCTACGACTGATTGACTCAGGCCCTTTCTCACTGACTTCTTCCTTCATTCGGAGAAAGAAGTCATCAGGAATGGAACCAGTGGAAAGTCGTATGCAGAAGAGAAGTGAAAAATGGGCAAAGACGAAGACTTTGGAAGCGAAAGATGGACCGATTGACGCTCTTCCAGCCCAGCTGCTGTTTATTGAGCTCAAAGTGGATGAGAGAGAGCTTCTTTTTTAGATATCCCCACAATTAGAGCTATTAGATGATAAGAGATTTCGCGTCATGGAACATGTCCAGGTCTACCAGAAAGAGCCCGTGCATTCCAAAAGTCACTCACAAACTGAACATCCCTATCAGACACTATGGAGGAAGGTAAACCATGCAGTTTAACAACCTCTCTAAAGAACAATTTAGCCACATGTGAAGCATCGGTTGTTTTACTACAAGGAAAGAAATGTGCCATCTTAGAAAACCTATCCAATAGAGCGAGAGTCTTATCCCTTCCAAAATGACCAGCAAGTCCACCTGCATGCATTTCCCAAAGACGAGAATCTCTAAGTGACGTACGAGGAATGCATAACTTAGTCGCTCTAAACAGATAACCCTCACGAATAACAAAGTCAACATAGTCTCTACGGTTACCATCCCTAACCTCCTGATAAATGAGACCAAAATCAGGACAAGTAGAATACTCATCCTTCATCCTATCAAAACCTATCACCTGTGCACTCATCATCTGAAGGACGGTAAGTACCCTACTAAGAGCACCAGCTACCTTATTCTCTACACCAGAACGATGTTTGAGAACAAAAGAGTACTCGTTAATGAACTCAACCCACCCTAGAATTTCATTTCTTTTGAGAGTGCAGATATCTCAATGCTTGGTGGTCGGAAAACAGAACAAACTCTTGAGGTAATAATTCCTCCAATGGCGAAGGGACTGGACCACAGCATCAAACTCCTTATCATATGTATAAGACTTCTGTTTAGCCTCATTGAGTTTTTCACTAAAGAATGCTATGGGATGCCCTTCCTGACTTAAGACACCCCCTCTTCCTATTCCAGATGCATCACAAGCAACCTCAAAAACTTGACTCAAATCAGGATGCCTCAAAACAGGTGCTTCAGTCATCTTTTGCTTAATATCACTAAAAGCCCTAGCAGCCACAGTAGTCCATTGAAACTCCCCTTTCTTTAAACAATCTGTTATGGGAGCCATAATAGTACTAACCCTCTAATGAATCTCCTACAGAAAGTGGCTAAACCATGGAAACTACGAACCTCAGAGATAGACTGAGGGTTCTGGCCACTCCCTAATGGCCCTAACCTTTTCAGGGTCGGCTGCAATACCTTGCGCAGAAAGAATGAAGCCTAAGAAAAGCACTTGAGATTGCATAAAGGTACACTTCTGAAGGTTGACATACAGTTTTGCTACCCTAAGAGTCATGAAAACCTGACGAAGATGATCTAAGTGCTCCTCTGTAGACTGACTATAAACCAGGATGTCATCAAACTCAGAATTTGCCTATGAAAGGGTGCAAGACATGGGTTGGGTCATAACCCTCATAAAGGTACTGGGAGCATTGGACAATCCAAAGGGCATGACTAACCATTCATACAATCCATCTTGGGTCTTAAAGGCGGTTTTCCATTCATCTCCTGGCCTAATACGAATTTGGTGGTAACCACTGCGCAAGTCTATCTTGGAGAACCAACTAGAACCAGCCAACAAATCTAACATATCCTCAAGCCGGAAACCTATACTTGACGGTGATTTTGTTGATGGCTCTACTATCTACACACATCCTCCAAGATCCATCCTTCTTAGGTGTCAATAGGGCAGGTACAGCACAAGGACTAAGACTATATCGAACAAAACCTTTCGCTAGAAGCTCTTCCACTTGCCTATTTCACTCAGCACGCTCCTTAGGGTTCATCCTATAATGTGGAAGGTTAGGCAATTGAGATCCAGGAATTAAATCAATAGCATGCTGGATATCCCTCATGGGTGGTAATTCACTAGGAAGATCATCAGGCATGACATCAAGGAACTCCTCTAACAACCATACAACCTCCTCCTCACCCATATAATTGTCGTCAGTGATTTCGTCGAAATTCGAATCTGGGTCGCCGAGTCCTATGGGTAAAATCCTCACGCACACCAAGAACCGACGTCTATTGAGTGGCCCGTGGCGCATATCGTGAAGATAGCTGGAGATTTGGCGAAGGAACTTTTGCTGGCAACGGTAACTGACAGGGGCACCGGAAGGGAGATAAGAGCGTTGGCGACCGAAAAGCTCCCTTTGGAAAGTGTTGACACGGATTTGAGAA